TATAGATATATATCTATATATAGCTATATCTATCTATATATATATATATATATCTCTATATATAGAGATCTCTCTCTCGCTCTCGATATAGATATAGATATATCTATCTCTATATAGATATATCTATCTCTATATAGATATATCTATCTATATCCTTGCCATAGTAAGGAAAATATGTACAAAACCACTATACGTTGCCTTTGTAACTTAATTCTGTCCGGCTTGCTCTGTATTTGCATTTTCCTGAGTGCTAACTTACATTAATGCAAGCTTGAAAGTTGTATAACATGAGGATTACTTATCATTTATATCTCCTCAAGCTCTGCACAATTTATACTGATTACTTTAGGTGAGAAGATTAAGAGACACGCGCTATGTCCGCCACTGGCCACTGGCAGTTTTTTGGCATTTAGGATTTTTTCAAGAGAATTATTGTGCTTAATTCAATTTGCCTTTTTGCCAGCAGTGTCCCTGTCCACGGTCAACTCTTTTTCAGGGCACGCGTTGATGATTAATCTTCTGATAAAATCCTGGATTTTGATAAGTCATTAGGAGGTGGTCCAAACTCAGTCAAAGTAATAAAAAAAGCAGCTTGAAGACATTATCAGCCACAGTCATTCTCTACATCGTAATATCCGAGGGGGACTGTGATTTCAAAGGCTCCCATAGATTTAGGAGTGTGATTTGATATGCAGATGGAGTCCAGCTACCCTCAGGCACCACTGTCTGCCAGCATGCACATAAACATAGATGTCCTTATAGAATTAAAATGGAGTAGAGGTTCAATATATGAGTGGCTGTAAACCGATTGATCAGGTGGAGTGATGAGCACTGAAAATGCTAGAATTTTGCTACTGGAGCCAGTCACAATCTGCCATCATATGCAGCATATAGTGAAAGGCATGTTCCTATTGATGTAAAGGGATTGATTAACTTGGGTGGCAGTGATTTTTTTCTTTTTTCTTTTTCCTTTTAAAGGTCTGTGTGTGGCAACAAGTGCTGCTGAAACTTAGAAGTGACCGTAAAATGGAATTGAATGGGGGGGTTGTGAGGGAAGAACTTGCATACTTGCATGTTATGTCAAACGTAGCTGTGGGTTTCCCTTTTGTCCAATGACAGCTCCACAGTTTCCCCACATCAGTCCGCAGCTGCCAGTGTCATCTTTATGGAAGCAGCTCCCACTATCCGAGCTTTTCTCCTTTGTCTTGTTACTGTAAGTGGTACTGGAACCTGGGGCATTGCTTCTATTTATCAAGCCCAGAGTGGTCATCCAAAGGTATAGATTTGTTCATTTTTGGTACAGTCATGAAACAAACTCCATGTAAACGTATCTTGGGACAGAAGATAGCATATTTGTAAGAATCTTGTCCGTTTGTCTTTGCAGAAACAGCTGTTATGCTCTGTTGACTTTGTTTTTATTCTGCAACACATCATGGGGGATTGGCCAAAATAGTATACCAGCGGATCTGGATATGAGTGTACAGGGAACTATGTGAATATCTGATTAGACATTTGTAGAGGAGCTGGTATCTGTATTACATTTTAATGGACCCACTTCAGACTCAACATACGGAGAATATGAGTGATTGTTTATTGCTGTAGATTTCTATTTCTACCTGCTTCATCCAAAAGTTCAGGATAACCTCTGAAAGTCCAGATCTTTCTAGTTTTGCCAAAAGTATAATGTTCATGCTGAGCAACGATGATCTCACATTTGCTAAATACAGCTGACTATAAAAGACTCGAATGTATCATCTCTGATCATCTGCTTATAGCCTATGGGGTGCAGGTTTATGAGCTGGGAATTATCACAATCTGACAACATTTTCCAACTGTTAGCGCCTTCCACCAACTAACTTGGATGACATTGCTTATACGTGCTCTATAAGCATTACATGTTCTCACCTCTTGTGGGAGATTATCATCTAATGCCTATTAGAACCTTTATAATAAGTTAATACAGCAGGGTTGAAATTTAAAAAAAAAAGTTTCAGCCACCATCCATTTTATGGTTTGACATCTTGCATTGTGACCCACTATGTTTGCCAGGTGGCCCATGTTTTTGACAGTTATCCATTGCAAAGCTGTATTTTTCTAGGAACAGTCTAGGAAAAGATGCACATATGTATTTACTGTATACTTCTTTACATAACCCCAGCGTTGTGTTTTTTTTTTTCCCCCAGACAATATGTTTTCTCTGCCTTTAACAGAGAGTTTCTGGCTGCACCTTACACCGATCAGATCTTCCATTTGATCATTCCAGCACTGGCAGATCTGCATTCTGCCTTCCCATACGAGCTTTTTCTCAATGCACTACTGGAAGGACAACATCAAAGTCCACGTACAAGTAACCAGGCCCCCTGGCTCTTCTACGCTGTGCTAACAGTTGGGGAAACCTATCTGGGTATGTGCACATTTCTCATTTTAATGAATATGTTGTGTTGTCTGTTTTAGTTCTCTTCTATCCAGGTCATGGTATAGCTAGTAATAGTTATTCACATTCAGCCAGACGTGTTCTGAAATGTTGAAGACGTTTTATGGCTTCTCCAAGATACTTCTTGAGTTCTTATAAGTGTCAGGAACATTCCCCCCAGCCTTTATATCCAGTTAGTACTCTAGTCACCATTGAATGTGTAGATATTGATTGTCCAGGAACAGGATGGAAGGTGTGAACGTTGCTAAACCACCCTGTTCTAGTTACGTAATCCCATCCTTGGTGATAATCTGCATAGGTTGTAATGCCTTGATTTACATGGCTAAAGGTGTGACTTGTTATTAAATTGCTGTGGTAGAGATGATAAAATGGTGTTATATGTGGAAGGTAGGTGGTGTCGGAAGACCCCTGCCCCTGTTCAGGGATGGTTGTTATGATATGAGCTAGATGGCCTCTTTCATGCCTTTTGCAAACCCATTGTCCACTCTTTCCATGATGTGCACCTCACTGTACGAGAAAGAATGTAGAAAACTGCTGATTCTTGACCTGTAGAATTTACCCTCCTATGTTGGGTCGTTTGTTTGTTGAGAGGTTGTTGTACAGGTCTTTGCTATCTTCAGTGCTATACCAAGTTACTTTGCTTGTTCTTGGGTGTTGGGTCTTTTGAATGTACAAGTTTTTGTCTCTGTGTATTGCTGGTCTTGAAAGATACAGAGATGAAATGCTTGTCCAAGATTCTTCTGAGCTTTTCTGACAATCCATCTACATGAGGGATGACCTTCAGCACATCTGCCTTCCACATATATTGCTGTTTTAACATCTCTACCCTGGTGATGTTGACAATTCACAAACCTATCAATTGACATTACAGTACAAGTCCAGTTGAATGTGGCTACCTACTACTTGATATGTTAAGTGTTTGTTGATAATGGAGTTCTTTTTTTCTTTTTTCTGTATTTCCTGTCATTCTGTCCATGAGTATTCAAAACATTACAAAATTCAGGTATCGCATAACACGTTATCTTTGAGCACCTAAACTCTCATCTTGTTCTTGCATTTAATACATGGATCTTGTCACTCTAGGCACTCTATCAGAAGAAGGAATGCTGAAATACTTAAGAGTACTACAGACATTTCTCTGTCAGTTACCTTTCTCCTCTGGCACAAACCTCCAAGAGCTAAACAGCGACTCTGAAGACGAGGATGAAGACATCAGCAAAATGGTCACTACATTTGTAAGTGCCAAAGTTATTCTGGTTGGCTGGTGCAGAGTAATTCTACCCAATACTGAAAATTCAACACAGTGTATGGAGAGCAACATCATATACTTCGCATCCACTATTCCAAAGGGTGCTCCACTGCAGAAAGTACATATATAATGGCAATTCCAGAAGAAATATGTGCACATGTTATTTTCTTGCCTATGTCTTTTTGTTTTATTTTTTTTGAAAGACTACATCTGATGTGGAGCGACTATAGAGAGGGGATCATAGCTCACTCACCTTTTTATAGAGACTTTGTCACCCTGCTTATTAGGGCAAAGTGACAGTGTCTGTGTGACACCCATTCCCCTGCCCACTTTATACTCGCCTCATCAGCACTTGCCATTTATTTCTCTGTTGCAGCCATCAATAAAATTAGGGATGCACAGATACCATTTTTTCCAGACCGAGTACAAATACCGATAGTTTTCCTCAACTACTTGTTGAAACTTATTACCAATACTTGTGACAGTTTTTTTTAAAAACAATACAGACTAATGATTTTAGGACAGTGGTGGAGAGCTAGGGTCCGGTTGCAGCGACACTGCTAGTTCTGCCACTGACTCCAAACTGTAAAGGGACTACAAATCCCAGTGATATATTATCCAGCAATGCAGAATAATACCTCCTTCAGCCATAGAGGAGTACAAATCACAGCAATGCAGAATACCACCAGCTATAGATGACTACAAATCCCAGCAATACATTATTCCGTTCTGCAGAATAATCTGAAGCTACATACTCTTATGTTGCTGACTGGGACAGCGTGACTGGCTCTCCCCAGGGCTGCGCGTGACTGGCTCTCCCCAGGGCTGCGCGTGACTGGCTCTCCCCAGGGCTGCGCGGGATGGAGGAGGTGTTTGGCCAGACCAGTGCTGTAAACAGCCACGGTGAGGTCCCCAGTATGCGTGGGACCTTATGGCAGCTGAATACATAAAAAAATGTAAAGGGCCGATTTTAGCTTTAAGTATCAAAGCATTTTCATGAATACTCATAAAAATGCCCAGCATCGGCACTGATACCGGTATTGGTGCATCTCTAAACGCATGTTGGCAGCCAGTGTCGGAGCTCATGGAGCAGTGATGTCTCCCCCCACAATCAGTCCTGATTGGCATTTGGTCTAAGCACTTCATGACGGGAGGAAGTCACATTTTCCCCCTTCCTCCCCGCCACCCAGATATATTGCATTGGTGGCCTCAGAAAGAAATACCAGGTAGCGCTGGAGAGCTGAGTATAAGGTCTTGTGTCAGTGGGCTTTTTTCCCCCTTTAGGACTGTTTAACTCCTAATTCGAGTGTATGTGAATACAAAAGCAGCTTTAGGCAGGTCAGAAGGTGGTCAACGTCAGGTCAAAGGCACCTGTCAATGAATTCTGAGTGATTGACACTGACCCTAAAGTGGCCGGGCAGTAGACATAGACACTGTCACGTTGCCCTGAATGGTGGAGGTGACTCTGTCTCGTTAATGTTTGTCTTGGAGCAACATTGTAATTTGTCAATGTCGGAAATAGATTTGCATGAAACACAACTAGTATACATTTTTTCTTTCTTTCTAGGGTGATAGCAAAATGTCTGTGCAGTATATCACAGAGGAGTGTCTGAAGAAACTGGACACTAAACAGCAGACCAACACCTTGCTAAACATGGTGTGGAGAGATTCCGCCAGTGAGGAGGTCTTCACTCTCATGGCATCAATCTGTCACACTCTAATGGTACAACATCGAATGATGGTTCCCAAAGTCAGGTAAATGTTCCTGGATTAGTGCACCTAGGACAGATGGTTCAGTTTTTGATAGATTCTAAAACCCCTGTTATGGTTTCTTATATTGCTCAAGGACTGAGATCTCTGCTATTTCTTTCCCTGATCTGCACAGCTGCTGCCAGTTTCTCTGTTTGAAATGTAATTGATTTTATATTTTGCAGAATTCAGATGGCAGGTGAATAGTTAACCTATATTTCATGTATCACAACACACAAATGAGCTCTGCTCAGTCAATATTACCTAATTATATCTAAGATGGTTTTAGTTACGGAATATTCTAAAGTTAGTTCTTTAAATGTAGTGTCAGGGTGCTTCATAATGGATTGTGTCATTATTTGAAGCCTTGTCAGTAAGCCTGTTATAAAATGTTAGTGTTTTGTTGACAGTGCTCTTTTCAAGTCTTATCCTGTAGGCCAATGAGTAAATGATTAATTAGATTACACAGTTTGTGGGCCTGATAAAATAGTGCTTGCAGCATTTTTTCAGATCGCACTGCACTGGAACGGAGGCCATTCCTGTACCTTGCGTTCCGGTGCAGGCGATCGCACTGCGAGCAGGGGGCGTGTCTGCAGTGCCATTGATTTGAATGGCACAGACACGCCCTTTCCCGCCCTGGTTCCCGCTTCCTTATACTCTTTGGCACACGTGATGCAATCGTGCCAAACAATGCATCCTGGGAAGGTTACATCAGCAGAGCATTGCTGGAAAATCTCTACTGTAATCTCAGGAGATCTCTGGGAAAGGCATTTTACTTCCCTGAGAGGATGTGCATGGTCACATGTCCTAGTCACATGTGCCAAAGTTCCAGATGAGATTTCAGATGAGGTTTTCCAGCAATGCTCCTCTGATGTAACCTTCCCAGGATGCATTGTTTTGCACGATTTGCATCATTTGTGCCAAAGGGGACCAGGAAATAGACAAAAAGTAATTGTAAGTAAAAGTCACACCATATCCAGTGCGTTCCGGTGCAGTTCGAGCCCGGAACATGCTGATCGCATAGATCAAGCTGGGCAGCGTTCTGGGGCAGGAGAGGGCGTGTCGGTGAAGTTCATGTCAATGGCTCCGCAGACAGGCCCCCCACCCACACTGCAATCGCACTGCACCAGAATGCAAGGTACAGGCATGCAGCATTTGTTTCACATCACACTGCACCAGAACGGAGGGCTTTCCTGAACCTCACGTTTTGGTGTGGGCAATCACATTGTGGGCGGTTAGTGTGTCTGCGGTGCCATTGACATTAATTGGTGCACGTTGGTGCTGACACCATCCTTCCTTGTATTCCATTATGGAAGCGAGCTTGGAGCGGTGACTACTTTACAACACACGCAGGGACCATGGGGAACAAAAGTAGCCCCCCTCCAGAAGGACGGAGTTTCGGCACCAATTCAGAGATGTTTTAAGGATCGACAGCCGAGTGATACACAAATAAGATACTTTTTTGTAGTTGGGGTACTTGAATGTATTTTTAAGGTTTAACTCCTGAGTTTAGTGTCACTTTTTTTCACTTGGTGTTTAAAGTAAAAATCTAAGCAACCAGCTAAATACACCCACAATACAAAGGTTTGCTGACTCAGTGTCCTTTGTATGAACATGCACACTGGAGTGATATGAGCATGCATGTCCATGCATTGTTAATGTGAAAAAGTTGGTTGTGTCCAGTTAAACATCTTTATCTTACAAAGCTGACACTTGCTGGAGAAATATTAATGGAAGGATCAGCAGACTACTTGGATTTCCCATTTTTATTTAGTCAAATGTATTGTGTTTGGTTTAATGGGTATGTGGTAAAAGTATGAACATTTTAGTACATTAGAGCTCTGGGTGTTGTGCTTCAACAGATGCTGCATACCTGAACAATGAGGAGTAATGTCCTGTTCATCAGGGTATGCAGAGGGGCCATAAAAGTGATCTTTAGTTTTTTGCAAGGCATTGATCTGAATCCATTTTAAGCACAGTACAAACAATGCTGCAGCAATCTCATTAGGGTCTGTCTTGGCCCACTGATGTTTATTGCTGTCAGGAAGTAAAATGTCAGGGAAGCTGTCTTACTTCAATTAGGACCATTAGCTTTTTTCTTTTCTGAGCTAATGTCATTGAAGCAGGATGTGAGAATGACGATCATAGCTTTAGGAGTTGTGATTTTATTGTTGAAAAGTGTATGGTGGCATGAAGGCAACAGTAATTTGCGGCATAAGATATGATGCGATGTTCTACAATTGTCTAATCACCAGGATTCTCTTGTAACTGGATGTATTCAGTGCGTTGTATTTGACATTTTACTGCATGACTTAAATGTTTTTTTTTCTACATCTTTACTATAATTCTAGTCTCCAAATGGATATAGGCTTTCAACAGAAAATTAAAACACTCTTTACTTAAATGAATTGTCTAAGGGCCCCTTCACACCACATCCAGATCATCGCCAGACCAGATTGTTTCTGGACCCAAAATGCATCCTAATGTATCCCTATGCTATTTCTGACCTCTGTTCACACCAGTGCAGTCCATTCCAGGCCAGACCAGAAAAATACTGCATGTCTCATTTTGTCTGGTCTGGAATGCACTGGAACTGTGGGCAGGTTCACACAATTTTCTGGACCAGATCTTGTCTGGAAAATGGTGTGAACCTGCCCTTAAGCTTGGCCGTACACAGATACAATTTTTTGCGTTTCCTACTGAATTGGCTGAAATTAGATCCAAGAATTACCCTTCCGGCACCACCTGGCTTGCCAAAAGTTGATTTTTAAATTGACTTTAGGTCAAGTAGATGGTTGCAGAATTGTCAGGCGAACATTGACTGCAGCCAATCTTCAGGTATTCTGACAGCCACGGGTGCCAGCAGGGAAGAGCCGTGACTGTAAGTCTGTCAGGATTCCCCCATCTTCTCTCCGATCCTCCAATGCTGACTGGAGGAACAGTCGGGTGAGGGGACGGGCACAGCTGGCTCTGCCTCTAGTTAGGTGCTCCTTAGCAATTTCCAGGTCTGTGACAGTTCAGGGTACAAACGAAATCTGTTGGTTTGGTCACAAAACATACCCAGAGATTAATGATAACATATTTGCATGCAAAATACACATTATTCCATACGCTATTAAAGAACTCCGGGTAAAAATCTTCCTAACAGTTGCAGTGGGGGCTACCCCCACACTGCATGGGTTAAGTGGTCGTTTTTGACTAGGGTCAAAAACAGCAAAGGTTTGGTGACCCGATCCTCCGAGTCAGCTGGCTCGGCTGACAGCGCTCCCTCCAGCCTGTCTCCTCCTCTGCAGCAATGGAATGTCTCTCTTTGTCCACATGTCCTATTCACTGTGTAAACAACCTAATGACTCACAGGACCTTAGACCACTGTAGTGGGGTGAGAGAGAGGCTGCAAGGACTGGTCTAAGAGCTGGCTGGATCCGAGGATCGGGTGAGTATAACTGTTCTATTTTTGACCCTATACAAAAATGACCACTAAACCCCTTGCAGTGCTCGGGAAGCCCCACCCTGCAAGGGTTAAAAAAAATGTACCTGCTTGAAATGTCCCCTTCTGTCTGTCCGCTCTCTTTGTAGCGCTACACCGGCCTAGGAATTATGTCAGATGCTGAAGATTCTCTTTGGCTGCTGTGGCTTTTCATGAGAGCAAAAATCGAAGTCAGGCTGCATGAGAAGTATTTTTACTCTTCTTTTAACAGGCTGCTCTTCAATTTTTATGTAATTTTTTTCTTTGGGAGCAGATCTGTGGTGATGAAATTGCAATGTTGATGGATTTTGTTTTTCTATTCTCAGTATATGCAGATTTCTCAGGCAATCTTGTTTGATGTATTTTATAAATCGGCATAGATATAATCTACTACATTGTAAGCTATTGTGTATCTGTTGGCGCTATATGAATCCTGTATAATAAAAATAGTAATATCTGGAGAATAAAAAAATTTGCTGATTCACCTGAATTTCCAATTCTTCCATCTGCAGTTGGCCCTTCATTTTCCAGTCTTGGGATGGGTTGGGTCCTAGACAAGATCTTATTGCTAAATTGCATTGTAGTAGTCAGGGAGGTTTAGGACCTGCCTGTGCTGTCTGGCAGGGGTGTGTGTGTGTGTCACAAGATTGACTGAACAGAATTACAAATCCTTTGGTAGGCATAACACTTCACATGTATGTATTTTGGCTGTGTACTGTTTTCTAGGAGTTTAGTTCTAACAATTCACAATCTTCTTCTTGCACATTCCTGACCTGCTAGTCTATCTCCAGGTAAACAAAAACCCAACTTTGCAGTGGGACTACCCCACACTGCAATGGTTAACCACTCGTTTTTGTCCACAGGACCTGTTTAAAGGACTTTAGTTGTCTGGTCCTTGCCCCAAGACTTGCACCCTCGGCCTCTTCCCCGCCCCTAGTTCCTGTGGTCCGAGACATGGAGCCATGCATTATATGTGATGGCTCCTAGGGACAGTCCTCGAGGCAGAGCATGGGGAAGAGGGGCTAGTGCCAACTGTTGGTAGAGCAGGGATCAGGTAAGTAAAAGTCCTTTTTACAAGAACCATAGACATAAATGAACAGTTAACCCTTGCGGTGTAGGGGTAGCCCCTCTGCAAGGGAAGCCTCCCCCCCCCCCCCCT